TTTAAATGCATGTTATTAGGGAGAAATAAACAGGCTAAGAATAGGGCTAACTGTGGTAAAGTAAAAGTTTCTGACCTGATGTGGTGCTGATAACTGCCTCGTTCCACTGTTCAGCACTGGACACGGAGAATGAGCGCTGGTGCATTCCTTCCTTATTAGTTCCTAAAGCCACACCAGCCGTCGAACCCCCGGACTGAAGGGAACTGCTGCTGTTTGAGTGAGGAGTGCCTAAGAATCAAGAAGAGAGAAAAAGAAATTCAGTCAGAAACGTTTTAAGTTGCATTTCGTAGCATTCGGAAGTTACTTTGTCAATAGCAGATGCTTTTTTCCAAAGCGACTTACAATTGAGGAGGCATTTAGCGATTCAACAAAAAGAGGCAATACACACAAGAAGTGCTAAGTATACAAAGAAATGGTTAGTGCTCAGATGAAGTGCTAGTGCTTTTTTAGAAAGAGAGAAAGAGAGTAGAGCGTTTTAAAAGGTGATTTGTCAAGTCCACTCATAAATGTGCAGTGTTTATATTCATTTATTTTGTTTATTTAAGGATATGAAGTGATTGTAAGAATGTGTCTGGCGCAAATATGCAAAACCAGTGGTGGTTCAAGTGTCAGAGAGATAAAAGCGTGTGTCACCTGTGTGAGGCACACTTAAAATTGACTTGGAAATTAGATACAGGTGAAGTCGTCTGGGTGATGACGTTATGATAATAAAAGACTGTGGACTCCATTTTCCGTTTTGTCAATACAATCACGTAATCAGTGGTGGCTTTGCTTTGAATTTATCTTACAACATTGGTGTTGCCAATGTTAAATTCCACTGTTTGAGCTACAGGGACAAAACAATTAAAGGCGAATAACAATGGCGATAAAATCCTATATCACTATTCAATTTTTCATCTGCATTTTGTCAGTAAAGCCGGTTCCAGTAAACATCCAGCATTTGCTTTAAGATGGAGCAAAATTTACTACTCAGGGCTGTTGTTTACTGAAAGGCTACGCAAAGATTAAAGATTAAAGTTAATTTGATTGGATGATAATGAAATCACAAAGAAAGCCAAAGTAAAGTCAGATGGATAAACAGAGAGGTAGGAAGTTTCCGGAACTACGTCATATCATTAATATCATTCAAGATTTTTAAACTATTTATTTTTTTATTACTTTTATAATCTATCATAATCATTATAAGGATTTTTATATCCATTCACGATTTTTCAAATCAAACTTTGATGCATCACTTGCTTTTGTTCATATCTCGGACAGTTCTACCTATTAAAGTTAAATATTAATGACTACAAATCATGGGTTGCTCTATAAAAATAATTTTTTATTATATAAAAAAAAGTACACCTACTTAAAAATACAGACATTTTTTAATTATTTTTATTTATTTTGCCCACTTAACAATTTACACATTACTGTCTGGTTAGTTTCTGTCCTCTATCAGCTATAATAGTCCAGCAATAATAGTCCAACAATCCTGATCATGATCACCAATAAAGCCTAGAAAAACAGGCCATCAGTTTATTGTAAACCGATACTCATGCTCAAATACTCTTTTCCAGTCATTAAAGAAATAATTAGTTTCTTATTTAAAGTTTTGTAACTATTAAATTGTTTTTATTCAAAACTGTTATATATACATCAGTGTAAAACCTAGAAATGGTGGAAAAACATATTTCTGTAATTGTGTACCTAGGTCACTTTTGCCATGACCTCTTTTGCCTTTAACAAACTTATTCCTCAGGTTTTTCCAAACTTATTAACAAAAACTTTCTTGCTTTCCCACTGCTGTTGCAATTTCTAGCTAAAAATTATTGTTCATCTGGTTTTCCCTATGATCACGCATGGACGCATCATAAAGCAGTCCGTACAGTCGTACCTGTTTCAAACAAAATCTCTTCAAAGTGTTACATATTCAACTCAAATGAAAAGTCTCAAAAATTAATGATAATGTTGCGCGTACCCAAAGCAAACCTCCGCAATAACAGAAAGCTGATTGGCTATTGCATGTTGGTTTCATTTGTAGTTGTAATACTGCAAATTACATTTGGACTAGTGAAATAAAGAACTACAACACCATGAAAACCAAGCAACAACAACAAAGAATTTAAATGAGCATTAGATGTAGCGTTACACGGACATCGGAAAAATAAGACCTGCACTGAAAAAAATTATTCAGAGATGACTCCTTGGATTTACTCAATTTTTTTTTATGTAAGGTGGTTGAAAACAATTTAGATGTGTTGAATTTAAACAAACAAATTAAGTTGAACATTTTTAAACTTAATTTGTTTGTTTATATTTAACACAAATAAATTGTTTGCAACAGTTCTGCATGCAACACTTTTTTCAGTGCAAAAATATTTAAGACCTAGAACAGAAAATTTAAGACTTTTTAAGGCCTAAAAATTGTCATTTTTAAATGTTCCACTTTTTAAGACCTTGCGGAAACCCTGTTATTAGTCAAGTTTAATCAATGAAATATGTTTTGAAATCTTGAGAGGGGTCTGGATGCAGACCTGGTGCAGTGCAATCTGGGCTGCATCCAATGCTTTTTAATGGGCTTACCTAACCACACCCCTAACCCTACCCCTCACAGTGACATCACTCGTTACATTTGAGTGCATTGTGTCTGACATTGCATCGCTGAGTGATGCAATCTCAGCTTGCATCACAAAGGCTGCATCCAGATACTATTGGAAATCTCTTGGCTTATTCATAAACCTATATATAGATTTCCTGGGTTTCTTTTTCGTGGGTATTTGTATGGAACAAAATCAGTGCCTAAAGTCTTGAATTAAAAAGCTTGTTGAATATCACAAACTGAAAAAAAATAATACACCGTATTAACAAGTTCTTGCATTTTAATGACTTGAATTCCTGTGTTTGTATTTTTAGGTCCTGAAATTTAACATATCTGTATATTTAAGCTTTGAATATTTCAACGAAAAATATTTCAAACACGTTTTCATACTTAAAAATTCAATAATTCATATTCAATTTTCAGATTTCACTTACAAAATATTCAATACCCTTTAAAAATGCGATGTATAATATTCAAAAGGTAATTTTCAGTTCATTTTATTTCAGTTCAAATATTCGCTTCCATAAATTCAGTGGATCAAATTCGACTGTTAAAATTCAACATTACATCCGGGAACTGCAGGAGAAGCAATAGATTGCAGATTGAAGATCGCCAGCTGCTCTAGCTTTCACCAGCAGGTGGAGATGGAATGTAAGATTTTTAACCCAGTAAACAGGCGAGAAAAAGGCTATTAAAGGCACAAAAGTAGCATTTAATATTAATATCAATGCCTTGGACATTATAAATGATAAAAAGTATGAGTAAAATGAGTAAATGAGGTTTTAGTCATCTATATTTGCCCTTATGTAACGGAAGCCAGCTGGTGATCGCGTAAAGCTCACTCCTCGGATCCAGGGACAGACGTTGTTCTGCAATCTTATCGGAGCTCGTCTCCCATGCCGGCTCGCTCCCTGCTCGGACCGGTGCAGTTACTTGCACATAAACCGTCTTTTGATGAATATGATGTTACACATTGTCTATCTTTATTGACTCTTTCTTCCATAGACGCGAAGTATTATATTGACAGCTAAAGAATATAAACGTAAGAGAAACAGGAAAGGAAATATTATAATAATACAAAATAGATAAACATTGACAGGGCTAAGAACAATTACGAACAAAGATATTCAAAACCAGAGAGATTTTATGAGAATGTCACAGAATGTCAGGATTGGGATAGGTTATATAATTTCATTATTTAAATTATGATTGTTAATATTAATATTTTATGACATGTATTTGGGCTATTGCTGACTTTAATTTGTTTTCAATATTAAATGAGAAAACCATTATTTATAACTTTTCAGCAACCGTTTGTATTTTATGATTAGCAATGTTGATCTTTTTTGCAGTTATTAAACATATAAACTTGTTTAAACTGGTTTAAATTTAATATAGTTGTCACTTCAGCTAGTTTCATAAGATTAATGTTTAGAATGCGTGGTTGAGTGGTTTCTGCAAATCATGGGATTATTACTGAGCTGTAATCGCCATCTACTGGAGAGAATGTATTTGCTCATTTATTCTATTAACTCTTTTCTGCAAGTGTGTTTTATGATTTCACAAAGTCAAACCATTATTTTTTTATTTTATATTTTGAGATGATCATATTTAAATAAACAATTGCTAGGGTAGCTAATAGTTTCTTTTTTCTTGTTTAAAAAAAATCAGTAGCCTATAAAATCGTAATTTTTGCTTGACAAAGTTATTGGTTTAGGATTCTGGATGCATTTTTGCTAAATGAATGTTGGATACTCTCACACTAGTTAAATCAATTATATTATCAGAAATGACAGATATAAGAAATCCATTAATATTCATCACTCTTTTTACAATTGTACAAGCAATTTCGCGCCGACGTCAGCTCCACTTTCGGAAATGGTAAACAGCGAGGTGTTATTCATATAAGCCCAAGCATGACATGTCATGATAATAATCGAAACACTCTTGTAGGCTATTATGCTTGGCCAAATGTCATGACTTTCACTTTTATTTTACATTATTATGCACAAGCCCAGATATCATCTGAAACTTTGGAAGAATTCCTATCATATATTGGCAGCCATCCAGCATCTCTTAACCAGTTTGATATGCGGTGCTGGCTCTGACCGGCTACCGGAGCTCGCGGCCACTCGTTCGTCTTTGTCGTGTGCAAGCCACACCGCACATGCATAAAAACGTTAATCATTTCATTCATTCATCAATTCATTCATTTTCCTTCTGCTTCGTCTCTATTTTAGTGGAAAAGCAATATTCTGGACAAACTAAAGACATTTTGCAAACGTAACCGTGGCAGAACCACAAAAAATAGAAAAAAAGAAGAGAAAGACGGTATCAAAGTGATAGCTACAAAGGATAAATAGAAATATTAATTTAGAATCACGGATGACTTATTTAAGCGCAATAGCCCAAATACATGTCATAAAATATTAATATTAACAATCATAATTTAAATAATGAAATTATATAACCTATCCCAATCCTGACATAGCTGCGTTTAAATAATAACTGAAGACGCTCCTTTAATGCATTCGCACGTTATGTTAAATTATTTTAAATTAGACGCCCCATCCATAACCAACCTTAAATCATACCTGAACACTGTTTAACAGTTCCAAGCAAACTGTTTTGTGTGACATTCTCA